GTATCGCCCCCACCCCGTGCAGCGCCCCCGCAGGCGGCACCTGTGGCTCTCCTGCAGCATGTGGGTGAGCTCCTGGATCTTGTCGTAGTGCTCCAGGTGCTGCTTCAGCTCCATAATCTCACCAGACAGGCTCTTCACACTGCTCTGAAGTCCTGAAGGAGAAAACGTGGCAGGGTTCAGTGAACATCCAGACAGTTAAAGATCAGAGCCATTCTAGAGTTTAAATTGGGTTTGGGTTACAAGGAAAAGCATCGAGTTTGAAGAGGGTCAGCTCTTACAAGAGGCTAAGAGAACAGGATGAACACAGAGCTCCAGGCCCCAAGTGCATGTCAGGTCACCCCGAATCCGGGGTCTTATCTGTGCCCACAGCTCCTGCCCCTTGTGTTGGGGACACCCAAGAGGGGCCTGTGTGCCACCAGGCCTCCTTTACTGCCTGTGGGGTGGGGGACTTTGGGGTGACTCTCCCGTCAGGCTCAGGAGAAGCACCCAAACGTCCACGTGTCCACAGCCACCCACATCCTCCCTCCGCTCTCCTCAGACCTAGCTGGCGCTCCTATCACCAGGACTCTGTGTCTCCCGCGAAGGAAGAGATCCAAAACCAGGCTACAGACAAAGCCACCGTAGACACATCCCCAACACACCACCGCAAAACCACACCTGCCAGAGACAGAGACACAACTGGGGTGGCACCCAGCAGGGGGCAGTTATGCCAGCAGCAGCTCTCTCACCAATGGCAGTAAGTCCGTGGCAGTGGGGCGCACCGTGGGCGCTGAGGTAAACACGCTGCTCAGAGCCCCACGACAGACATCTCCCCTCAGGGCTGTGTGCAAAGGGACTCTGGGAGGAGGGCAGCACGTTTTGGAATCTCCCAGAACCCCCACATCACAGAACACTCAGAGTAACCAGAATGCAAAGGCAAACCCTGTGGCCAACAATTACAGTCAGCCCGGTGACAAAGTATCCTCACAACCCCCAAATCCAAGGGGCTGGATAAGCCCCCAAGAGCGACGAGCCATGCATTATCCCACCTGGGGGTGAAGCTGAGGTCATGTCATGGTGAGGGGAGGCATCTGACAGCCGCAGTTGTGGAGAGGGAGGGTGTCTGACAGAGTCACACTTGTGACAGGGGGGCGTCTTCACAGAGTCACGGTC